TAACTGCAGACAGCAAAGGTGTTGGAACAGGGCTTCGGCTTCCCTATCCCGTACGATGCAGTGTACGGCGAACAGTGCGTTCAGAGATCATTTGAGAGCATCCCTGATTAAGATCTGCAGTAATTTGATGCACTGTTGCCCTTCTGTTGTCTTGTACCAGTCTTGCCACTCTCCGTTCTGCCCTAACATTGACTAGTCGCTGACGGCCACAATTCGCACGTTCAGACCCAGATTTTCGGCTGACAGTCCAGTCTTTAAACACTTTAACAACAGCTGCTCTTGAACATTTAACGAATTCTGCTGTTTTGCTGATACTCGCTCCATGGCTCGGAGCGCCAACAATCATCCCACGTTCAAAGGCTGTTAAATCGCGTTGTTTACCCGTATCTTCAGAAAAAAATCACTTCTACTGTCGTGGTAAACAACCTGCTTCCCTATTTATAATGGTCTGGCCCTCTAGCAACTTCAGCGCAAAATTATAGCTAATTTGCCTACAAACGTCAGGTGGTCATAATAATCTGGCCACTCAGTGTATGTATGTACATACATACACACACACACACACACAAATGTAACATTTCCCAGTTGAATATTAATTCCAGTTACATTACAAGGTATGGAAAACTCTGAGGGTAATACATTCCTATACAAAGGTCAGTTATACATTGCCCTCATAATTACACCCACACTGTGCTGACACCAGAACCATGCCATGTACCATTCACCCAGCACAGCACGACCCCACTATGTACAGATACATGTCCTAGAAGTCCCACAATGCGCCTCCCACCTCTAAAGAACTAGAAGTTTCAGCATTCCCCACAATGAATTTCCTGCCTTTGTAGTAGTTCCAGCTGTCTCCACAATGCACCTCTAAGTTCTGCAGAACTACAAGTCTCAACTCTACCCACAATGCACCCTCTGTAGAACTACAAGCTCCAGTTATTCCACTGATACCCCATCTGCCTCTACAAGTCCCAGCAGGCACCTTCTGCCTTTGTAGAATTACAATTCCCAGCAGTCCCCACAATGCATCGACTGCCTTTAGAGAACTACAAGTCCCAGCTTCCCCCCACAGTGCACATTCTAACTCTGTAGAACTGCATGTCACAGCAATCCCCACAGTGCACTTTCAGCTTCTGTAGAACTACAAGTCCCAGCTTTCCCCACAGTGCATGCTGACTCTATAGAACTGCATGTCCCAGCAATCCCCACAGTGCAGTCTGGCTCTATAGAACTACAAGTCCCAGTTCTCCCCACAACAAAACTCCTTGCTGAGTAGAACTAAAAGTCCCAGCTGTCCATACAATGCACCTCACGCCACTATAGAACTACAAGTCCCAGCAGTCAATGCCTGTGTCCCTCCTTTCAGTATAAAAACAAAATCGGGGGCAATGGTGGGGAACCAAGGTATTTGGGTAATAACATTAGACAGCTGGAAACCTGGCAGACACAGGGACTGTGTCCAGTCCGACTGGTAGGTCTTTCCTGTGTCTCAGCAGTTTCTGGCAAAACGCCCCCCCAGCACCGAGCACACTACTGATAAGAGCAGAGCGCCACAGCTCCGCTACTCCCGCCGACCGGCTACAGCTCCCAGCATCCTTTGTGTCCACCAACGTACTTTCCGCAATGCTTGCTGGGAACTGTAGTCTCTTTCCCTCTTCTCATTGGTTGTCTTCCTGCAGGCGCATAGCTGGGCCGGACTGCATTCCCATCATGCTTCGCGGCGCGCTGGTTGGACTGGCTTTGTTTGCATTGGGTTGGGTGAGTACAGCCGGGTATTTAATATTTGTTTGAGTCTCCTGGCACCTGGGTGACTGCAGAGCGCTGCAGGTACAGCATGTGAGGCGGAGGAGCACTGGTCCTGTGTGTGCAGTAAGTTCCCCTTTATCTGTATGGCGGTGTACAGCGAGTGTTATACTAATGCAGAGTTATGTGCAGGAAAGCCGGGAGTGTCAGGAGCCTCGGAGAGTAGCTGTGTGGTGGAGAGGACGTAGTATTATATGATACCTGGAGTCTCACTCTCACCGCTTTACCAGTTCGGGGGTATGGAGAACACCTCTTGTCACTTTTATTTATTGCCGGGGAGAGGTTCCTCTGTCTGTCCTGACATGATGACAAGTCACACCAAGTTTATAGTTGTCACCAGAACAGCAGGTGGTTTCTTCCAATTCATATCACTTTGCAGAGATTTCCAATGATTAAAGCCCACATAGAGTTTTATAAAGGTTTTCCTTTATTTCCTGTCCGAGAGAAGTTATAGGAAGTGAGGAGGAATCTCCTCTTAGTTGTCACCAGGGATGTGCGTGGGCTTGGTGTGAACCAAGTTTGTCCGAGGCCATCAGAAAACTGTCAGTGACCCATCCCCCTTGAGGCCCAATCAGCTGCGGCCAAGGCATTCCCTGCAGTCACATGTAATAGGCCAGTTGGGACGGGGATGTGTCGGTGACAGTTTTTCGCGGGCTCAGGCCGACTTGATTCACACCCAGGCCATGCACATCCCTAGTTGTCACTAGAACAAGTGTCCGTGTTGAAAGATTCCTCCGTGCCTCATATTCTGGTGGCATTTTGGATTTCCCATCACTTTTGATCTCCCTGACACAGTGGTCACCAGAACAAATCTAGAGGGTGACTATCCCCAGTAGGGACACTGATGGCAATAAAAACTCAACCGAGGTTCTAATCCTTCCCACCTACAGCCTGATACCTGTCTATAGCACTCGCCTTTCCATCGGATCACAATGATGACCACGCAGCTAGTATCTTCATGTGAAGTGCCGCAGTGTTAACAGGCTTTAGGTGTGGTGGTCGGCTTTCCTTTTTGGTGGCAGTAACACACCTCTGTACTGTTTTTTTTGGAGGATCAGCATTGACTTCCTAGGACAGGAAGTGTTAAGACTACAGAATACCCCACCCCCCTTATCTCCAGAACATAGGGGCCAGGGTGATTATTGGTAAAGATATTAGTGTGGCATTGTTAGCTCACTTCTGGAAGTTAAAGTGCAACTGAAGCCAAAACTTTTTTTTCTAGTTTTGGATTGAAGTGGAGATGGATTGGAACCCCTGTCAGACTTTTATTGCTGTCTGTATACCCATTAAGGAGATTCACTCTCCATTTTTCCCTGATGAGTCTTCTCAATGAAAGTGAAAGAAGATCCCAGATTTTGGGTTGTCAACAGAACAGGAAATCTTCCTATGGGGATACTAGTTCTGGTGACCCTGCTGACCATCAGGGACCTCCCTCTTTTTGGAGGGATTTCCTCTCAATTCCTGTTGTGGCTGTCAGACAGGAAGTGAAGGGAAATCTCTCTAACAGGTGGCCAAAAAAGCTGACGGAGGTTATAATCCTCCCTGAGGGCCAATTCACACCAGCCGATGCGCTAAACACCCTTTTTTGAAATGTGACAAGTGACATTGCATTGAGTTCTACGGGCAAAGCGGGGCGCGAGGCGGTTGTTCTGCGTCACATCCCACTGTGCTGTACTTCTTTCAGCACACACCACTGCCCTCTCACTGCAAAGTGGTGGTGTGCACCAAGCCCATCCGTGATGAGGCAAAAACTGCCTTGCCTTGTGTTGGGGCTGCGCTGGAAACAACGCCCCTGGGGTGAATGGGGCCTTTAGTCTATACGCTTTGAACTTCATAATGTGATTTCTTGTCTGAAGTTGCCGATAAAAGCTTTGTTTCTGTAAAGAGGGAAGTTAATATTTGCTTCTCCTTCCGTCTGTGCCACTGACCAACCCTCCAATCCAGAAAATCCCCAAATAAAGTCTTCTGCAGAAACTGACCCTGCCATGTGTGCTTTTCTCCTGGCTCCCCACAGCAGTCAGTGCTTCTTCCTGTTGGTCTTCACGTCACTACAGGACACAATAGTGGAGGTTGGCAGGAGGAACCACTAAGCACTGCGGGGCCAGGCAATCGACTCTCCGGAGGTCTTTGGATCAGAGCGGCAGGAGAGGAAAGCATTCAATCCTTTACAGGTACAGCTTTTACGGCTTTTTTTCTTTTCTCTTTTAAAGTGACATTTAAGTACGCCTTATGTGATGCCTCTTGATTCGAACAAGTTCTTCCTTGCTTCGTTTTCCACAGTCACACCAGCGCTGGTGCCCGTCCCTGATCCAGCGCAGACTCCTCGGGTCCAGCGGTGTCTGTCCAACGTGCGCACACCCAGCTGTGTCCATTCAGCTTCTGTTCTGCTCTCCTCCTCTCCCCTCCGATTCTCTGGACTGCGCATGCGCCCACCCACACTTCCTCCTTCACAGCGTTCGGGAGCCTTCTGCAGGAGGAGCGAGTGGCGCTGACACAGGTAAGTTTGTTGGTATTTGCCAACTTTTTTTTTTATATTGGGTCATGTATCTACTGCTTACTAGCACTGCATATATGCCAAAAAGAGACTTTAATTCTTCTTTAATGTAATTGACTTGTGACTTGTCCTTTTAAAGGAGAACTATGAGGAGTGATTTTCACTCATCCTCATAGTTCGAGCCGACGTGTGACAATGAAACTGTCACATGTTGGCTCAATAGATCGGGAAGTGAGCAAACACATACCGTCGCTTGCTCACTTCTCGATCATCTCCCTGCAGAGAGCTGTGACTGTCACTCACGGCTCTCTGCAGGGATTCCCCCCTCCCCTGTCTAATCCTCCAGCGCTGACAGGAGGAACGAACGGGGGAGGGGGCTGGCACAGCTGGCTCTGCCTCTAGATAGGCAGAGTCAGCTGTCAATCACGCAGCTGGGTGGATCTCAACAGTTATGTCAGGATCCGTCCTGGCTGCGGCAGTCTCAGTATACCACGAGCTGCAGCTCGCGATATACTGAGCTTTGGGTCACGGGAGGACGCTAGTTTATGTCCTCTCGTGACTTTGAGGAGAACTATGGGGCAAAGCACTGACCCCATAGTTCTCCATTAAAGCTCAGGGTTTTATAAATGGTATTACATCAACACAAATGGATTGCCAAGACTAATTCTATTTAATAATCTTATTTCTTAGATTTGAATTATCTGGTTTATCCGGTGAAAATGGTATCCTTGCAGTTTCTGTAAAACATCGTCAAATTCTGGAATATGCCAGAAATGATTTCTTCTCCAGAATTCGTCAGTGAACCCAATTTTATGACGCAGTACATGCCCACCATTGCACGCTCTGGTGTCATTGTAAATGCTGCATTCCCCAACTTTGAGCAAGATGGAGGACTGCCTCGTAGGCCTTCCAGTGCCCTATCAGGACTGCGTGCCCCAACGCCATTTGCAGAAAATTCCAGCCTGATAAGTGAGGACTCTTTGGAACAACATGATGCTGGTTACAGACAACCAGAACTGCGACCAGACCCTAGAGGACATATGTCTGTGTATAAAGAGGCCATGTATGAAAGAGAAGTTAGCAGAAGCAGGCCACAAAGTAGAAACATGTTTCGGGAGGATGAAGTGTTAAGAGAAGAACTGAATGACCCGTTGTTGAAAAAACTTGAGCAGGTAACTTAACATCTACAAAATGTATTAATTTCTAACATGTATACTTGGTGAAAAAAACAGGCTCATGTGCAGGATCTAATGCTGACCATATACTACCATACTGATTCTACAATCTCACGTTTAGTTTACTCATTTGTATTAAGATTGTAGTCCATCACATATTGTAGTCCATCACATGAGTGAGCTTGGAGCGGTGACTACACTACAACACACACAGGGACCATAGGAAACAAAATGTAGCTACCCTCCAGAAGGAAGGACAGAGTCAGCACCAATTCAGAGATGATTTGAGGATCTACAGCTGAGTGCTGGAATCTCTTCTTGCTTGACTTGGCCTGCACTGCTTTCCCCGGGAGGAAAGTGACATCACACCCAGCAATGCGGATGACTGGGGTGAGGTAAGTATAACATTTTGCTTAGTTAATTCTTTTGACAGGCTGTATCGCATTTGTGTCCCTTTTTTATTTTTTGTCCATAGTTATCCTTTAATAGAGGCTGTACTTCTATAATATTTAGAAACTCAAGATTGTCCAGATCTACCAGCTTGGCCATTCCAGCTATCCCTAACTCCGAGGTTATGTGTGGAGAACAATACTACGATATTGATTTCTCTATTTTTTTGCCTGAACAAAATTAAATGTATCAGATGATCTTCTTGACTGATTTCAGGGGGAAAGTTCCCTGACATATGCTCGGCATAGGAGTGTTGAGCATGTTGTAGAAGTGCATAACCTGGAAGACTAATGGAAATAGAGTTACCGGTAAGTCCTAACTCTGAATGTTTACATTTGACCGCTAACTTGACACTCCTAACTTTGAGTTCCCCTTTAATTATGCCTTGTGCATTATACTGTTTACTTTGTAATTGGAGGCAGTAACGTTCACCTTGCTCATTGTTTGGTTGAGTATTCAATATGGACACTCTTAGCAGACGGCAGGGCTCAACATGCTGACCTGTTTGTCATGCTGTCATCAGCCTTATTGTTCTGTGTTTTTACAGTCTGTACCCAGCACGCTTGGTGTGATCTTGTTGAGCCTGGCAGTGATTTTCTTATTATTTTGACAACCTATGGCTGATCACCCTTGTTAGATTACAATTGTGTTAGTAGAGATGAGGCAACTAGCTAATAGGTAGGGCTTTCTTTAGCATTCCAGCTTGCCTTGCCAGCTATCAGACTCCTCCATGCCACAGGACTCTTAAAGTGACACTAAACTCAGGAGTTAAATCCTGTGTATACGTGCGTTAAACAGCATGCGATTATTTGTGCATTGTGCACATTTGTATGTGCATTTTAACGCGCATTTTGATTGGCAGCTCATAAACCATTGTGGGCGATGGAAGAACACGTGTATAAATGCACAAAAACGCTCACGAAAATGTGCAACATGCTTCGATTACGTGTTTTAGTGCATTTCCTATGAAGTCTATGGGGCAAAGAAGCGCTTTTAACTGCCCAAAGAAGCTCCTGTAACTTTTCAGGTATTTAGCGTTTTTCTGCTGGCGGTTTTCTGCTCAGGTCTGAACCAGGGCCATTGACAATCATGGGATTTCTTGTGTTGGGCAGTTAAAAGCGCTTTTCGAACTGTTCAAAAACTCCTAGGGCTGAACCAGGCCTCAAGTTCCCTAACTAGTAACAAAAATGTATCTTTTCTCCAATCTTCCAGGCCAGCAACCTGAGAGATGATTGGCTCCTCCTACTACATGAAACACAATAAAAAAACTTGGTTAAATACCCTCCCACCCTCTCTTACCTCAGTTTTTTTGTGTTTCCTACCTACAGGATCACTTCGTCACGTTTTGTTGTTTTTTTTTCTTTTGTCCGGTCGATCTTGAGGTCGCTGATCCCCCCTCTGTGTAGCGCTGCTGGTTGCTGATGACCTTGCTGCGGTTACAGAGGGGTTCCCCTCTTCTGTCCCAGGCGGTCCTTTCCTCCGTGGACATAGGTAGGAAGGAGCCTGAAGTCCCAGGCTGCGGCCCGTCCGGGTGGTTCAAGGCTTCGGGGTGTTGGAGCGGTGCGCTCGTGGTGGTGGAGCGCACAAAAAGGCAGCCCGTGCGTTCCAAAGGCCTGTATAAATGGAAGTGACTTCACTTCCAGCGCGACCGCGATCGCCACTTCCGCTGCGCATCTCGCTGGACGCTGTGACCATCTCAGGACGCAGGGGAACCTGTTGCCATCGCTACTCCAATGGAAGAAGGGAGCAAGCCGACGGCCACTGTGCTCAAATCCAGGGGTGGGGTAAGTACAGGAAGGTTACTATGGGCCCTACCTGAGACAGTGTGCTGGTCGTTTTTCAACCGGGACTCTGTAGGCATTCATTCATGCATGTATGTTTTTTCTGCCTAGGATCCCTCTCCTGCGGAGAAATTGACACCCCTGAGTTCGGTACCACCTGATGCCCCAGTTGTCAAACAAATTAAAAAGTGCTTTCGGCTCTTGTATTATTAAACTCCCTCTGGGTTATTCTAAGCCCATTTGTGAATCTTGCATACATAAACTTCTGGCTAATGAGTCCTCTTCCCTGATGAAAGGGTTCCTTGATTCAATGAGGACTGAAATGGTAGCAACTATGCAGTCATTTAAGGAAGTTTTTTCCGATATGTTGCCAGTTCAGCAGGGAATTCAGGATTACCCGGTCCCTCAGGATTACAAAGTCAGGCTCTGCCTTTGGCTGCACCTAAAGGGGTTTCTAATACCAACCTAGTCTCTGATTCTGAGTCTGATAGTTCAGTAGAAGAGGGGGAGGTTGGGAAGATGAAGATGAGGACGCTAGACCTTCATGTAATCTCTTCTCTTCGGAAGATATGGATGGTTTACTGCAATCCATATATACTACAGAACAAATCCTGGAACCCCCTAGGGAGGTTTTGGTCCAGGACCGTCTTTATAGAGGCCTAGCTGAACCTCAGTGTAAGTGTTTTCCGGTTCACCAGTCTATTAAAGACTTGATGGAGAAAGAGTGGAAAGAGCCAGAGAGAACATTTCTGGGGTTTAGGTCCTGGAAACGCAGCAGGACCTAAACGGCATTAGCTCAGGTTTCCAAAAAATCGGATTTGTCGTTTGAGGATGCTGGGAATATTAAGGACCAGATGGATAGAAAAGCAGAGGCATTACTGCGGAGAGCATGGGACTCTAACGCTGCTTCCATGGCTCCGGCAGTAGCAGCTACCTGCGTAGCACGCAATATGGACCTCTGGTTAGAACATGCTTCCTTGCACGTATCTCAGGGGGCACCGGCTGAGCAAGTGTTGGATTCTCTTTTAGCCTTTGGAAAGGTGGTCGCTTATTTAGCAGATGCCTCTGTAGAGATTGTGAGGGCCACGGCTAGAACTGGGGCGCTTCGTAATTCCGCCAGGAGGGCTATTTGGCTAAAATCCTGGGAGGGAGATGTTTCATCTAAGTCTCTGCTCTGCTCTCTCCCGTTTGAGGGGGATTTATTGTTTGGTTCCGGCCTGGGTGACGTTTTAACTAGGTCATCTGAGAAAGGGAAGAAATTCCCTGTGAAGAAGAAGAGGGTGCGTGGTAGGCCATTTTTTCGTCCCCACCAGGAGCAGTAAAGACAGGCCAATAAAGCCCAGTTTCAAAAGAAGACCTGGCCCTTTATAAAGAACAAAGCCAAGGTGGAGTTATTTTTTTCAGCTCCGGCACCCACAAAGAAGGACCCTAAGTGACGCCACCAGAATGGGTGGAAGACTTTCCCTGTTTGTGTCCTGCTGGAGAAAGATTACAGACAGTCAATTTATTTTGGATGTCTTACAAATGGGCTATCACCTAGAATTTCAGACGCAGCCGCCCCAAACCTTTTTTTTTCTCACGAGACTGCCTAAAGAGAGGGAGGCAGCTCATGCACTGACAGATTGTATTCAGACTCTGGTATCACAGCAGGTGGTAGTTCCAGTCCTCATGGGGCAGGAATTTCTAGGGTTTTATTCCCATGTGTTTTTGGTACCAAAACCGTCGGGCAAATTCAGGCTGATCTTAAATCTGAAAAAGTTGAATCAGTATCTGATCTTCAAACATTTGCGGATGGAGAGTATTTACTCGGTACGCCAGACCCACCGAAAATAGTTTTTTATGATCACCCTGGATTTGAAAGACGCTTACCTAGATATACCCATCTGTCTAGAGCATCAACAGTTTCTGCGGTTCGCAATCAAAACAAAAGTGGGGATAACTCACTGGCAATTTCGCGCACTCCCCTTTGGCCTTTCAGCAGCACCCAGAATATTTACGAAGGTTCTGTCGGAACCGGTCCCATTTTTGCGCCTCCAGGTCGTCTGCCTGATTCCATATCTAGACGATCTGCTCATTTACGGCATGTCAGAGGCGAAAGTCTTGGCAAGCCTGCAGTCTGTAAGGGACTTGCTGGAGCATCTGGGTTGGATTGTGAATGCGGAAAAATCTTTCCTGACACCGTACATGGCAGCATACAATGGGCTGGGGGCGGAGCCATACCCATTGTATGCTGCCATGTACTGGCATCAGGAAAGGAAAATTACCGATAGGTAAGTATACAATTTTCTGTTTTCCTGACACCGTACATGGCAGCATACAATGGGTATGGCTCTGCCCCCAGCCCATTGTATGCTGCCATGTACTGGCATCAGGAAAGGAAAATTACCGATAGGTAAGTATACAATTTTCCATTTTCCTAACCCCGGCCCAGTCGGTAGTCTTTTTGGGCTACAGAGTGGATTCGGTGGCGGAGAAGTTGTTCCTCACAGAGGAGAAAATCCTCAAGCTGGTGTTGCTGTCTCAGGCCGCCCAGTCCAGCATCTCTCTGTCATTAAGAGAGATAATGAGACTATTGGGGGTCATGACCTCCGCAATTCCGGCTCTGGACTGGGCTCAGTTCTACTCCAGGCTGCTTCAAGTGTTTCTTCTGTCCAAATGGGACAGGAGAAGGGACTCTTTGGAACAGATGGTTCATCTTCCAAGGGAGGTTCGGGAGTCCCTCTCTTGGTGGATGTCCCGGGAAAAGCTGAGGCAAGGCAGGTTGTGGGGTCAAACAGACCCCGTTCATATCACAACCGATGCGAGCTCTTGGGGGGGCACATTTGTTAGCAGGTTTTGCTCAGGGTCCCTGGCCTCAAAGCCTGGTAGCGGCCTCCTCAAACTTAAGGGAGTTGACAGCCGTAAAGGAGGCAGTTCTAGTCTTCCAGGAGGGTCTGGTGGGGAAGGAGGTGAAGGTGTTTTCAGACAATTCCACGACGGTGGCTTACTTAAATCACCAAGGCGGAACACGATCCCTGACTCTTTTGCATGTAGCGGAAGAGATTTTTCACTGGGCAGAGTCCCGGGTGGTTTAAATTTCGGCGGTCCACATCAAGGGGGTTTGCAACGAGACTGCGGACTTCCTATGCCGCAGGCGCATACACCAGAACGAGTGGGAGCTTCACCCAGAGGTGTTTGCACAACTTGTAGCCCTGTGGGGGCAGCCGGAAGTGGACCTGTTCGCCAACAGTCTCAACAAAAAGACACCTGTATTTTATTCCCTAGGCAGGGAAGTGGAGTCCAAAGGGGTGGATGCGCTGGCCCAGAACTGGAATTTCAATCTGAGGTGTGCCTTTCCACCTCTAGTACTTCTCCCTTGCATTCTCCAGAAGTTGACCAGGTCATCTTGTACCCTCATACTGATAGCTCCCTGGTGGCCCAGAAGGACGTGGTTCTCGGAGCTACGGGTCCGGTCTATCCTCCCTCCTTGGGGGCTGCCCGTGCGGAAGGACCTGCTTTCTCAGGGGCCGGTCGTCCATCCGAACCCGGATTTTTTTCGGTTGACGGCATGGCTCCTGAGAGGCGGATACTGCAGGTAAAAGGCTGTTCTGAAAAAGTAATTGATACCCTTCTTTTTAGCAGAAAAACTGTTCCGAGAAAGATTTATAGTAAAGTCTGGAGGGTTTTTTCTTCATGGTGTAAAAACAAAAATGTTATGTCACCTTCTGTCCCTATCATCCTGGATTTTTTGCAGGAAGGCCTGGACAACGGTTTGGCGATCAGTACACTGAAAGTCCAGCATTCAGCTCTGTCTGTATTTTTGCAGTCCAAATTATTGGAGGACCCCTTAATTAGGTGATTCATTTTGGCGGCGGAGCGTCATTGCCCGCTGAAAAATAAATTTGTTTCCTCCATGGGATCTGTCTTTAGTTTTAGTTGGTCTATCTAAACCCCCCTTTGAGCCGATGGCAGATATCTCTATGAAGTGGTTGTCACTAAAAATGGTTTGCCTATTGGCCATCACTTCAGCTAGACGTATTGGAGATTTACAGGCAATTTTGATCAAAGAACCTTATTTGGTCATATTGCCAGATAGTTATTCTGAAGCCTGATCCTTTGTACCTACCAAAGGTGTCCTCCCAGTTTCATGGGTCTCAGGAGATTGTTCTTCCCTCGTTTTGTGATAGCCCTAAAAATCCTAGGGAGGAAGCCTTTCATTCCCTAGATGTTAGAAGGTGCTTGATTAATTATCTAGAGAAGTCTAGGCCGTTTAGAAAGTCTAGCCATTTTTTTATCCTGTATGCAGGAGCTAGAAAGGTATTGCAGGCATCCAAAGCCACGCTAGCCAGGTGGATTAGAGAGGTTATAACGTAGTGTTTATCGTTCCGAAGGACAAGAAGTCCCTTCCTCTATTAAAGCTCATTCTACTAGAGCGTTGGCCACTTCCTGGGCAGAGAAAGCTGGGGCATCGGTGGACCAGATTTGCAAGGCAGCCGTCTGGTCACGTCAAGATACCTTCGTGCGCCATTACCGTGTGGAAGTGTTGTCGCAGCAAGACCTCACTTTCGGTCGGAAGCAGGGGCGGACTGACCAGTCGGGCACGAACCGAGGGCCCGCAGCCATCAGGGGGCCCGTCACTGACTGTCCCCTCGCCGCTACCTCTCTGCCATCTGCACCCGGTCAGCCCGCCCGCGTCAGATGCAGCTCTGTAATAGCCGGCTGCTCGCTCCTCAAGTGGGTCCTCGGCAGGTCCCCAGCGGGCTGCCCTCAAAATAATTGAAGACAAATTTTGTGCTGAATTGGTGCTTACACTGTCCTTCCTTCTGGAAGGTGACTACTTTTGTTCCACATGGTCCCTGTGTGAGTTGTAAAGTAGTCACCGCTCCAAGCTCACTTCTGTGATATAATTTGTCATTTATTGCTTTAATTATATACATTTCATCTGGGGCCTATTTAAACTATTCCGTGCATGTTAAAGCCATAGTAAGCTGCTGAGTGAAAGGTGTGTTGTTGCCCTTAAATGCTGTGTGTACTGCACATTAGGGTACGCTTGCTTTACAGGTGTGCTCTTCTCCAGCGCTGCTGCATTTTTCTGTGGTTTTCATCTTTTATGTGTTAAATATCTGAGGGGTGATTGGCCTATTTATAATGTACCTAGCCTGAAATGCATGTTGCTGCTTGTTTATAGTCCGTTTAATGTATAATATAGCCTGATAATGTTTCAACTTCATAGCTGAAGGAACTACAACAACAGAAACAAGAGCAGCTAAAACAGCAACAGATGGAACAGCTCCAAAAGCTCATGGAAGAGCAGAAGATGCTGATTCATATGTCAAGGCAACCTGTATACTCAGGTGAGTCGCGTCACTTTGTAACTCATGGAATGTGAAAGGATTCTACTGGACTGTTTTTTTGTTTTATCCAAATTTAGATAATGCATTATAATTGTATCTTTACCTTTTGAGGAAAAATATATAAAGTTAGTTATTAAAAAAACTATCAAATATTTGTATTCACTGCTTCTTGTGTCCATTTGTTTCTCTGAATCCAATTTCCTGTTTGAATAGTAGTTTAACTACTTGTTGACCGGGGTGTTTAGGAAACTGTCCAGGCCATTTTTCAGTATTCAGCGCTACGGTACTTGGACTGGCGTTTATTCCGTCATGCAACGCTGTACTGAAATTAATTTTATACAATTTTTTTGGGGACACATAGAGCTTTCTTTTGGTGGTATTTAATCACTACTGCAGTTTTAATTTTTTATTATATAACAAAAAAAGAAACTAATATTAAAAAAAAACGGTTTTCCCTTTTTATTATGTTGGGAAACATTTATTTATTACCCAATTTTTTGGTAAAATATAAAAGGCAGGGTCACCTCGGGTAAATTGACACCAAACATGTCAAGCCTTAAAATTGCGCGTGCACGCGAAATCACATAAAACTACCATAGCCAAAATTGGCCATAGGCGACTCTTTAAAAGATTTTACTACTCATCAATTTAATGTTATGTGTGATTAATGGGCCTGGAATTATTGCTCCCACTGCAACGGTCGCGGCGATATGTAACGTGTGGCATAATTGGAGCAATCGTCGTTTTTGCCTGTAGGCACACCGAACGCATTTTTGCGCATCTGTGTGGTGGTGGGGGGGACTTTAAAACATTTTTGTGGATTTTTTTTTTTTTGTGTGTGTGTAAATTTTATGTATTTTGTGAGCAATTTTTTTTCCACTTAACTTTATTATTGTCGCATAGTGGGATAAGAAGTCCCCTATGTGATAAATTACAGTGACAGGTCCCCTTTATGGAGACATCAGGTGTCTCTAAGACCAATAATGTCACCTTGGGACCCCCAGAGAAGCTGATGAAGCACAGATCTGCTTCATCAGCTTCTCTCCGGTTACTGGACTGGAGAGTGACAGAGGAATTCCAGAAGTGATGTAATATACATCACTTCCTCCATTCAGAGATCGGAGGGAGATTGTGTACTGAACTCCCTCCGTTCTCAGTGCAGAGAGCCACATTGCCCGAGATGGCGGGGACAGCGGCAGCGAGGAGAGGCAAGGAGGGGGGCGCACCCTGACTTGCATCATACAAGCGATCGGGCTTCTTTACAGACGCCGGACCGCGTGTATGTAAACGGCCATCTAAAATCCTGGCGGTTTCCCGCACGGGCACAAAGGACGTCTAAAGATGCCCACCTGCATCCAGGAGACGTCCGGCCGTCTTTCAGCGTTCGGCGGATGGTAGGTGGTTAAAAACCGTTAGTTGCCAACCAGACACTGTGTGCTAGTAGCAGTCATTGGACACAGACATGTGGATTGTCTTTTTCCAGATTGACAATCTCTACTGCCATCTGTGACAGCAGAGCAAGTCGCAGAGCTGGTGTCATCAAATGTACAGTTTACCTGATTTTGGATACAATGTAGCAGGGATTTAAGCTGGCCATAAACCGCTCTGTTTGTTTCGTCTAACGCACGAGCTGTACAAAACAAATAGAGCAGATTCCTCCCTCAACGCTGTATTCTGACAGCGGCCTCCGGCAACTGTTAGAATACCCGAACAGAGCCAGCAGCTCAGTGGCTGCCGCCTCTGCTCATACAAAGAATGTCCAGCCACCTCCTGCGATCAGCTGATCGAGGGATGCCGGCCGAACAGGTTCCTCAGGAACCGGCTGAAACTCGCAAAGTGCATGACCACTTTTAGATTGTAAGCACAGAACTCCCTTGCTCAGGGAACACTGTGGTGAGAACTGTTACCATCCATGACGAGGCAAATTGCCTAGTCTTGTGTTCTGGCTGCGCTGGAGAAAAACCGACCAGCTCAGCCTAAATGCAGATGGTGTGAACGATCCATTATTGTTGCTTGCACCTGCTACTGGAACATTGGCTATTAACATCAGTAATACTTACCCTTGTTGTAGCTTTTTTTGTGTGCAGCACAATAGGAGAGAAGAGTATACAAATCAATAGGTAAGCTTTGCTCCCCCCCCCAACCCCCCGTGGCATTTAATACATTTACATGCAAGGTGTGCTTTAACAGGGTGACAACATTACACAACAGGGTTGTCACCCTGTAGCCTTGGACAAACCTAGACGAAATAACAAACAAATTGAAGTCTGGCTTCAGCTAACACCTTTTTAGAAGTAGTTTAGTTTTTTTTCTTTGGAAGAAAAGTTTAAATCAAATGAATAAAAGTTGACCTCTGTCATTGTTGTATAGTTTGTGTCTACCCTGTAACTGTCTTTTTTTTAGACAGCTTGGTCTGTTACATGAAATAGAAAACTAATGGAACTGTTTGCAGGATCATCAGGTAACATCTGTTATGGGGGGAAACACAAAAAACAGCTTTTGTTAATGCTGATGACAGGCTACATCCTGTATGTCATGTCATTTCTGATTTATTTTTTTGTCCACTTTTAATGCAGAACATGAGTGGTGAAGAAATAATTGCAAAAAGGCAGACTATTGAACGTTGGCTCTCCTCTGCCACAAAACAAACTTACCTGCCTGTATACTATCTTCTACAGACTATACACTGAGCTGCCCAATAAGACCAATAAATCTTTATTGAATAAAGCTACCATGCCAGTTGTGTATTTGGCACTTGTTTGGAAAATACATTTTAGCTTCTTTTCCTTCAAGTGCTGTTGGCAAAGGGTAAATCTAGGCAAAAGGGTAGTAACAGTTTTAAAAAGGGATGTACCGATACTTGTATTGGTATCTGTGCCGATGCTGCGTATTTGGGTGAGTACTTGTACTCGCCCTAGTGATCCGATGCTTATCCCAATAGCTGGGCTTTTGTTATCAGAAAGTAGCGCAGCGAGTCATTACTCGTCACTTGGTGACAATGGAGCATGGAACCGGTTTCCCGGCCAATCAGGAAGCAGGGTAGCGTGTAATGACTTCCAGATTGGTCGAGAAACCGGGCAATCAGGAATCCAGACGACAAGTCGTTCCCTGCCCCCCGGCTTTCTGATTGGCCAGATAGCCGGCTTCATGCTCTTCGCCACCTGGTGACGAGGGAGCATGGAGCCGGCTTCCTGGCCAATCAGGTAGCCGGGCACCGTGTAATGATTCGTTGCCCGGCTTCCTGGTTGGTCGAGAAGCTGGCCAATCAGGAAGCCGGGCAACAAGTCATTACGCGGCGCCCGGCTTCCTGATTGGCCAGAAAGCTGGCTCCATGCTTCCTTGTCACCTAGTGATGAGGGAGCATGGAGACTGCTTCCCTGCTAATAGAGAAGCCCGGGTGGCGAGTGTTTACATGCCGGCCGGCTTCAACGCTAATCAAGAAGCCAGGTGGTGAGTCATTACACGCCGCTTGGCTTCCTTAATGGAACTTTCGGTATTGGCAGGTACTGGAAAAAAGATATCGGTACTGGTGCTCGATACCGGAAAACCGGTATCTGTGCATCCGTAGTTTTAAAGATAACCTGTATGAAAACAAATATGGGAACTGCCTGCTGACTTGTTTTTTGAAAGTCCAACCTCCTGAGGCTGTTATCTTTTTCCTTCCTTTTATTTCACTTTATGTCCATTTTAAAGTTGTATTTTAAGTTTTTGTTTGTTTGATAGAAGAAATGTATGCTGGTGGTTCTGTTCTTTGACCATTCTGAAAATTGGCATTGAATTTTAACAGTTTAGCCTTCCACCTTTCGTTTGTTTCTTGAGATTGTATACAAACCTCTTCAGTGGCAGCCATAACAACCAGCAGTAAGCTAAAACCAGTAAATCATTACAAAGCAGGCTGACTGCAGTGTGGAGATAATGTAGCAAAATAACTTTGCTGGATTAGACCGTTCTTACATTTTTCTTTGTTGAGCAGCAACAAGGATCATCGTTTTCCGGTAGTACCTACATTTTAAAAGGGGGAATAGTTTACAGGCGGTATTCATCCCTCTGAAAGAAATGTTCCTAAATTGTTTTAATTATAGCTCTGTCTAGTGACAAGTAAACATTGTTGGATAACAAGAATAGCAACTTAGACCGTGGGGTTATGGACCCAAATTCATAAACCACACCCTGATCACTTATAACAGTGAACTAGAAAGGCTTTTTAAGGTGTACTCATGAAAATATTAATTAAAACTCCCATTTTACTTCTTTGTAGCTAAAATTAGTATATTATGTACCTTTTTATATACAACAATACAAATGTAAGAGCTAGTTACAATTAAACAGTACAGGCCACGTCTATATTGGCAACAACCTCACCACATGTATCCATGAGATCGTTCTATTCATATCAAATGTTCATAATGGTGTTTTAGATACATTTGTTTCATTCACAGCTTTGAATATATCTTGTGAGTGGAGGAAGTGTTGCACACTCTTGACACATTTTGCCCTCGAAAAAGGGGCTTCCTCAGAAGTACTGTATAGCATAGTAAATACATTTTAAAACAATAACGAGACAATAAATAAGTACATGTTGTAACACATTTTAATGATGTCACCCAATAACCATCACATATCCCACTTCAACCTAACCACTGAACAATCACTTTCTCAAACAAATTATCCCCACACAGCTATCTCCTCATGTATCACTTGCCCCTCCTTTTTACATTGTAACCCCTCACGGGCAGGGCCCTCCTTACCATCTTGTCTTGAATTGTATTGTGATTGTAATGTCTTTCTTATATTGTAAAGCGCTGCGCAAACTGTTGGCACTATATACATCCTGTATATTAATAATCCCAACATCCATGCTTAGTGGTGACGTAAGCCTACTTTAGTCCCATTGAACCCTTCACAGTTATAGAACTTTTATATTTAAGGCTGCTGGTGATGAAATGGACAATGCAAGGCATGTTTGTCTGTATTCTCCATGTATTAAAATGTTATTATGCACTTTCTCTTAAACGTGACTTAAAGTTGACCATTTGAGTTGACCTTGTATTTTAAATTCCAGAATATGACCAGCAAAACCTCCTATCGGCACATATTGGTGGCTCCGTATCGCAAAAAAGTGTGTCCCGTCTTATGTCTCCGGTCAGTGGGAATATCCCCAGAGAGTACTTGTACAAAAAGCTTGAGCTGTCTAGGAGTTCGTCCCGGCCATCATCTATGCTTGCTCAAGAATACAGTCCAAATAAATCGAAAACATTAGAGGATTTGTTAAAGGAAGAGGTCGTAGAGGATTATAGTGGTGAGTATGAGTCCATATCTCTGTTCATCAGTGTTTTGCACATATAGTACTTGTTTCTACAGTAGCAGGTTTATGGATATATGTTACATTTCTCTAAAATTATTCTGGGTGCACGAGTTTCCATAACTGAAATTTTGCCACCCCCAAAATCCAGAGTGCTCTACTAAGCAAAGAGTAAGAAAGTAAGGCATAAGAGAAAGTTGGGAATGGGTGTGCAAGCCATTGGCTTTGCTGTTTCATGTTGGCATGTGTATCTGAGTGTCAGGGGTCCCAGGGCTCTACAATTGCAAGACATTGTGGGGTATGTGCAAGCACCTGAGGGTTTCTACTTTACATTCTTGTTGTAGCTTTACGGATTATTATTTTTTTTCTTATTTTTCAAAGGTTTTTATACACACGCAAATAAAGGTAAACCAATGTACCAAGATGGAACACATGCTCTGTTTACATTCATACAATATGTAACATTGTGCAAGATAACATTTCACAATTTCGTAATACAAATATTACCACAGTAAGCTAAATACGAAATAGCTTATATTTTTCAGCCTAAATGTGTGAAGATATATCATTCCAAGTCAATGAAGCTCATCACAGGTGATGCTATTAAACTGTGGGAAACATTGTGATATACTAACATACCAAGTCAGCATCTAGAAATCTAGCACGAACATAGAGCAATTAAGCTTCACATGAAGCAAATTATAAATGTTTCAACCAACATGAAAAAAAAGAAGTACAAAACATTTAAAGTAAAACCAGCCATTACACAATCAATGATATGATCATGTGAGATCCAGTACGTGAGCACAGGAAGGGTAATAAAATATTGTGCTACCTTAACCCAGCAGGTATTACAGAATCAGAGCAGGTGGAGCTAATCCAGGAGTAGAGAGCCATGCATCCCATATTTGGGGACAACTCCTATGCTGATGCACCAATTTTTCCTTTGGGAGTAGCAAATTAACTTGAGCATACTATTCACTTACAGTAGGAGGGTTGCTTTAAAGCTATTCATTTTCTTGCAACAAAAAGAAGACTTCTAATTGGAGAGAAGGTCTCCTTAGTATACGTGTTCTCATCAGTAAGGTTCAATAAGAAAGTCATGGGAGCCATAGAAACATTGGCAACGCATACAACATTAATAGAGGACACAAAGCTGAAGAGTTTTTGGCATCTCCATAACGTATGCATCAGTTCTGGTGGTTTCCCCTGACCTCTAGGACAGGCTCCAGACTCCCTTTTACACAAACCAATACAATTTTTGGGGAGTGTGGTAAACGCTGTGTAGAATAAATGATTGTCAAGCGATGTGAAGGTGAAAGGGATACTAGAGGAGTGTCTGCCAAAAGTCATCTGATATAGCACCCAGATCTTCCTCCTGGCCCCTCCAATATATATCAACCGCCATCAAGACATCCATACACCCATCAGTGCTTCATATGTTGTCAATACAAGGCCCTGCTTCTCAGTGGAATGTGCTACCAGGCTAATGAGGGGAGCTTTGTAAATGTCATTGTATGTAAGGGTATGCCCTTTAGGATATTTTGGAAGTACTTCCTATGTTACCACTATCTACACCAAGGCAGTAACTTATAATAAAATAATGTGTGTACTGCAAACAGGGCTCTTTTTGCTTAAAACATGTTTTTATGTTCTGGGTTATCTGGTTTCTAAAGGTATATTTTTACCTGAGAGTTCCTCTTCTGCAGTATCTTTGGTTAGGAATATGGGCTCTATATCAATGGGTCAGCAACAGACTATTTGGAAAGTATGAAATCATGTTCTTCTAACCCAGGGTGGTCATCTGCATGTGCTTTCGGCATCTTCATACTTTCTAGGTTTTATGTGCCTACACTACGTGTCATCACTTACATTAGTCTGCACTTTAATGTGTATATTTTGTTTTATTCACTAAAAAAAGTAATTTTTTGCTACATAGTATAATTGCTATATATATATATAATGTATTTTTGGTACTGAAGGTGATGAAGATGATACAGAAGAGTCAGCACATGATGATTCCTTAAAGAAAAGCCTTAGAACGAATAATGTGGAAGCAGAAGAAAGGTGAGTTACAGAACAGATGGGATATATAGGTTCTTTAACATTTATAATTAAAGGCAGTCTTGTCCCAAGACAGATTGTGGTGTCCTTGGCAGGTGTTCAAATTCATGTTCACCTCTGTACATTCTAGCTGGCCACCTGCACATATGGTGGGGGATGTTGGGTGTTAAAGCTTATTTGAGATCAGATTTCACTTTAGTGATTGCCAACGAGTAACAAAGAATGATCAAAATCACTTTGATTTAAGCATATTGCAGATTATACAGTATGTTCACCTCTGCTCCATATGTTTTACATTTGCAAAGTAATTACACATAATCTACCTACTGGTCAGTATTTCGTAACTCAAAAAAGATAATGCACTTACCTAGACAGCATTAAGGGAGTCACAAAACTGAAAGAATGGAGAAAAGTACTTTGCACATATTGTTTAAAATGTATGTCAGGGGGGGAAAAAAAAAACAAAACACATTCAGTACACATCTTCAGTACATGCACATCACCCCATGTTTTATCTCTGTAAAAAATGCTGCAGGTACAGAAAAATACCTGTTCTGCCAGAAATCCAGTGTGCTCCTACCTTGCTGTAGTGAAGTGTTCTGTAGTCCAGCAGGGGGAGAACTACAGGAGGGTTGACGACACTAGATTGGGTTTTATTCCAGCAGATGCCAAGTTAGTTGTCAAAGTTAGGAGCTGATTTGATGTCTGGCAGATAAATTGGTAATTTTCTTGCTGTGAACTTGTGAAATGTGCATTTCCTTCCATGTGATGAAAAAAAGTTGAAGATTTTATTGAATCTGTAATTTTATTTATTTTTAAATAGGTTTTAATTGGTGAAATGTTAAATTTAAATAACTATAAATATTACCTGTTTTTAATTCTGATTTTGTTTTTTTGCTTTTGTTTTTTTTAATAAATACGAAGTACCTTTTTGTCCATTCTCTTAGTTTTTACTTTTATCTTTTTATATAGTCATTAAAAGCTAATATGGTGGTAGGTTGAGTCCTCAAATTTGATTCTTATATCTCTTAAGGGCTCTACTGCCTTTTGGGGTAAGGGCTGCAGGGCTGCGTATTCTGTTAGAAATGATTACTGTTATTAGAGTGAATCATTCATTGGTTTATTGTATCTCTATCCGCCTCTCTTTCTAAATCCTTCTTTTTTTTTTTTTTTTTTGGAGAAATGTAGGCTGCGATAAAGCTATTTTTTAGGTGTTTACTCCTGTTGAAGACTTATGAGTGTCTACTCCAGCTGCAAATTGCATGCATATATATTTTATGAAATTTTTTAAATTCTGTAATCATTATTATATATTAATTATCATTCTGTAAGCTAACAATTACAGTATTAACCCCTCGTTGCCCAGAGCAGCTAATATTTGCCCACATATAATAAAAATCTGAATTTTTGGCTAGAAAACAGCTTAAAACCCCACAAACGATTATATATTTTCTGAAAGCAAAGGCCCTGTAGAATGCAATAAAATGCTAGCTGCAATTTTTTTTATACATATCTATAGTGTTTGAGGTTGAAAAAAGACACCGGTCCATCAAGTTCAACCTCTGTGTGTGAGTTGTGAATGCGTGTGTATATCCATCCCTTTTATTATTTAAAAGAAAAGAAAAAATATGTGAAACTTCCTGTGGGGATGTTTTTCATCTGCAGGGACTGGCAAACTGGTCATAATTGAAGGAATCATGGCAGGCACTAAATACAGGGAAATCTTGAGGGGAAACCTGTTTCGGTCTGCCAGAGATTTGAGACTGGGATGGAGGTTCACCTGCCAGCAGGACAACGACTCTAAGCTTACTGCTAAAGCAAGACTCCTGGTTTAAGAGGAAACATTGAAATGTTTTGGAATGGCCTAGTCAAAGCCCAGACCTCAATCCAATTGAGAATCTGTGGCATGACTTAAAGAATGCTGTATACCAGCGAAACCCATTCAACTTGAAGGAGCTGGGGCAGTTTTGCCTTGAACAATGGGAAAAATCCCAGTGGCTAGATGTGCCATGCTTATAGAGACATTCACCAAGAGACTTGCAGCTGTAAAAGTATTATCCTTGGAGGGGTGAATAGTTATGCACTTTCAGGTTTTCATTTTTTTGTCTTATTTTTTGTTTGCATCTTCAAAGTGGAAAAAACTCCATATTAATTCCAGGTGGTAATGCAACAAAATAGGAAAAAATGCCATGGGGGTGAATACTTTTACAAACCACTGTATCTGCATCCATGCAGAACCATAGATATTTTTTTTCGATCTGGTGTGTTTTTGTTTTATAAAGACCAAGATACTCATCCCATACAGGTGGGTATTTTGAGCAAAGCAATGTTACTGGTAAAGGAACATTTCAAATATCGATTATTTTTTTAGCATTAAATAAAGGCCTGTTGTTTCTGTTTTGGGAGTGTGTGTAAATTACACATTTTAGATGTGTCAGAATAATATAATGACATTTCTTTTCTGAAGACCAATAGTTTCAAGCATCAAGCAGAGAAAGGCATCATTTGAAGAATTCTTGGAGGAACAAATGAGGATTGAAGAACAACGACTTCAAGAAACTGAACACAGACAGGTACCTTCACTAATCTGATTTGTCCACACCCTGTGCTGAAATAGGGAAAGTCCTGTGCATTTGTAGGCCTACAGTCTGATCTAATATAGATTCATACAGTTGTAGGGGCTGTTAATTAGCATCTTGAGGAGGTATTCATGTTTACATTTGGTTCAGTTTGATATTTAATAGATTTCTTGAAGAATGTATGAGAAATTTGTTTTAAAAACGTGCTCTTGGATAAAATTTATAATTGTATTTAAATGCTTCCAATCTGTTTTCTTCTGCTTGAGTAAGTAGAATAATTGCACTGCCATTGTGGCCCATAGGCTCATATTGTGGTCCCCTTGTGTTCGTATGGTTGTATGCCTTGTTTGCAGAGCATGGTATATGTATTAATAATGGTCACTGCCATATTACCATAAAGTTCTCATGGTTGGGTGCCTTGGGCAGCTGGTTATTATGCATCCTTTTATTAATTTGCCTAATACCATTTTTAAAACAATTTTGTATTTAAAGAACAAACTATATTAAAATAATATGTCATACTACTTTTTCATTTTTAAGCACACTGATGGCTACCACAGAAAGCACAGTGGTATAGTAGTTAGTACATATGTCTTGCAGCAATGGGGTCCTTGGTTTGAATCTCAGGCAGGATACTATGAGCATGGAATTTGCATATTCTCTCTGGGCTTGCTCTGGGTACTTCTGTTTTCTCACACTCCAAAAACATGCTGGTATGTTGACTTTGTCTAAATCCTCTCTAGTGTTTGTTTGTGGGTCGTGAATCCCAACTGCAGCCTCCCATGTCCGTCCCTGGTAACAGTTCTTCTAGTGCAGGGGTAGGCAACCTTGGCTCTCCAGCTGTGCGGAAATGACCAATCCCATCATGCTTCTGCCTCTGGGAGTCATGCCTGTGGCTTGCAATGCCTTTATAGGATTTGTAGTTTCAGCACAGCTGGAGAGCCAAGGTTGCCTACCCTGTTCTAGTGGTTAATGCAGCTCTGGTACACGTTTTAGGGCTTGACACTAGGGATGTTCAGATACCAGTGCCACGAAAACTACCAGGGTCGCAGTGGCTGCAGCTGGGACCTGGCTCTGGCGCTACACCACTGTCCTGAAATCATTTGTTTGTATTGTTTTAGAGAAACTCACATGACAATAAACAAAAATGTATCAGTACTTGTATCTGTGAGTACTTGGGCAAGTATCAGTACTTGAAAAAATGGTATCAGTGCATTATTTATTCATATATTTATTTATATATATTATAAACAAAATCATACATTAAAAAACAGAGATGTACAAATCCCTGGAGCTCTGTGTGCTCCTTACAAATGACAGCTGCCTCTTAACTTTTGAATTTTTCTCTAGTCTAGTCTTGCAGCTGAAATAGTATCTCTACTTGTACCAAGTACGGTACTTGGTATCTGAACATCCCTACTTGAAACCACAGAAAAATAAGGTTCCAAAGTTAGACATGCACTGAAGATTGCAACACTGTCATGGTAGTAGGGATGGAATGAGAAAACTATAGTCCTTTAAAACATTGACAATAAAAATATTTAATCTTGACGGACGTAGATTAAACTGCTGCCATGTAGTTTTCCTTGCATAATTGTAGTTGAGAATGGAAGAAGAGAACCATGTCTATTAGTGATGCAACAACTAATCGAATAAATCGATGATGAGAATAGTTGGCAACGAGGGCTCAGCCTCTTTAGCCCCGCCCAGCCTCTTTAGCCCCGCCCTGTGCCTCCATTGCAACTAGAGGCTGGCAGCCATACCCAGCCTGCTATTGGATATTTTAAAATGCAATAGCAGGCTGGCTATTGCACCCGTCCACTGCCTGCTGTCAATCAGCAGACAAGGACCTGATGGAGAACTCTGAGGATCTTGAAAAAAAATTTGTTGCTCTACATAAAGATGGCCTAGGGTATAAAAAGATTGCCAAGACCCTGAAACTTGGCACGGTGGCCAAGACCATACAGCGGTTTAACAGGACAGGTTCCACTCGGAACAGGCATCGCAATGGTCGACCAAAGAAGTTGAGTGTACGCGCTCAGCGTCCTATCCAGAGGTTGTCTTTGGGAAATAGACGTATGAGTGCTGCCAGCATTGCTGCAGAGGTTGAAGGGGTGGGTGGTCAGCATGTCAGTGCTTAGACCATACGCCGCACACTGCATCAAATTGGCCTGCATGGCTGTCGTCCCAGAAGGAAGCCTCTTCTAAAGATGATGCACAAGAAAGCCTGCAAACAGTTTGCTGAAGACGACAAGCAGACTAAGGACATGGATTACTGGAACCATGTCCTGTGGTCTGATGAGACCAAGATAAACTTATATGATTCAGATGGTGTCAAGTATGTGTGGCAGCTACCAGGTGAGGAGTACAAAGACAAGTGTGTCTTGCCTACAGTCAAGCATGGTGGTGGGAGTGTCATGGTCTGAGGCTGCATGAGTGCTGCCGGCACTGGGGAGCTACAGTTCATTGAGGGAACCATGAATGCCAACATGTATTGTGACATACTGAAGCAGAGCATGATTCCTTCCCTTCGGAGACTGGGCCGCAGGGCAGTATTCCAAGATAACGACCCCAAACACACCTCCAAGACGACCACTGCCTTGCTAAAGAAGCTGAGGGTAAAGGTGATGGACTGGCCAAGCATGTCTACAGACCTAAACCCTATTAAGCAGCTGTGGGGCATCCTCAAACGGAAGGTGGAGGAGCGCAAGGTCTCCAACATCCACCAGCTCTGTGATGTCGTCATGGAGGAGTGGAAGAGGACTCCAATGGCAACCTGTGAAGCTCTGGTGAACGCCATGCCCAAGAGGGTTAAGGCAGTGCTGGAAAATAATGGTGGCCACACAAAATATTGACACTTTGGGCCCAATTTGGACATTTTCACTTAGGGGTGTACTCACTTTTGTTGCCAGCGGTTTAGACATTAATGGCCGTGTGTTGTAATTTGGAGGGGACAGCTGTAGCAAAGTGTAATTACTTCTGTGTTGTCACATGAAATATAAAATATTTACAAAAATGTGAGGGGTGTACTTTCTGTCAGATACTGTGTGTGTGTGTGTGTATAGATAGATAGATAGATGGATAGAGACAGAGACTGCGCTTCACAAACTCAAAAAAATATTCCTAAAATGTGAGAATAGAATGAAATGTGAAATTGTCGCAAAGTGATAAACAATTTTGTGTTATACACAACACCTGTGTTGCACAATGCCTGTGCTGATGATAGTAAGAAAAAACTCTAGGTCTAATGGTCTAGACCAGTGATGGCAAACCTTTTTGAACCCGAGTGCCCAAACTGGGACGCAAAATAAATGTATTTACATCAAAGTGCCAGCGCTGAAAATAAGTTTAGTACTGTATTGCATTTCGGGCGCTGGGGTTTAAAAAACGTTCAACATCACTGCCTTCGGCCCCAATTCACACCAAGCGACATACCTTACAAGTGGGGCCGGGATAGCGCGACTGTTCGGGGCGACGTTCCAGCGACAATTGCGTGACCTTCACCGCCGGGCTGCATTCAAAAATAGAAAAATAACGCGAAATCCGCAGGAAAAAGGGTCCTGCTAAAGCGACGGGTGACATGGAGCTGTACATTAGAACAGCTCCATTGAATAACATTGGCCGGAGACTTCTCGCAAAAATGTGCAAAATAGCGGGATTTTATGCACAGTGTGAATGGGTCCTTGGGCAAAATAGGAAAACACGCATATTCAAACATTTATACACTTAATAATACACATACACACACACACACACGTAATGAAACAACACACATCACGCACTGATTAAAACACACACACAGAACAACTAATAGAAATGAATAATCGATCGCCGGGCCCCGCCCCCTCGATCGCCGGGCCCCGCCCCCTCGATCGCCGCAGATGACGGGCCCAGCCACCTCCTGCGAAGCTGCTGGTTGGTCACCAACTCAGCAGCGGCTGTGAGAAGGAACGTAGCGTTCCTCCTCACAGCAGCCTGGCTGTCCGAGCCAGATGCCATAGCGACCCAGGCGGCCCGCATGGCATCAGGGAGATGGCCGTGCCCCGGGCCCCATAGCGGCCGCCTGGGCCTGATTGTTACGCCACTGTTCCCATAGTGTAGTATGTCAGAATAAATTTATTTAAAATAAGGCAATTGCACATGGATTGTGTCCACTGGAGCTCCTGTCTCTATGATTGTAATGGTGACATAGATCCGCCCACCAGATGCATTTCGTCACTATTGACTTCCTCTGAGGCGACGGTCTGCAGAGGAAGTCAATAGTGACTAAATGCAACAGGTGGGCGGATCTATGCGACCATTAGAATCATAGAGACGGGAACTCCAGTGGACACAATCCATATGCAATCGCCTTATTTTAATTGCAAGTGCACTTTACTGATCTGAATGTTGTTTTGGATTACTGGCTCAGGAGGTACACCCACCAGATTGGCTAGATTGCTAGGAAACTAGCATTTTCAGAATAAGCCTATTTTTCTCATGACTGGATAAACTTAAAGCGGACCTTTTACACTCAAATCAATTTCTACCAATGCATCCCTCTCTGTATGATGATAACATACCATGTCTGGTGTAAAATGCTGTGATTTTGAAATACGTACACATTCACTTCCTGCTTTGAAAGGGCAAAATGACTTCCGTTTGCTTAGGCCAGGGGTAGGCAATCTTGGCTCTCCAGCTGAGCTGAAACTACAAATCCTATCATGCTTCTGCCTCTGGGAGTCATGCCTGTGGCTTGCAATGCCTTATGGGATTTGTAGTTTCAGCACAGCTGGAGAGCCAAGGTTGCCTACCCCTGGCCTAAGCAATGCACACTGGGATTGCCTTGTCATCAATAGAGCAATGCTGGGAAATCTCATCACAACATTTCAGGGAAAGGCATTTTTGTCCCCTGAGATGATGTGCATGGTCACATGTCTAAGGACAAGAAAAGAAGAGACCTTGCCACACTCCTTACTGGGATTCCCATAATATGAAGACGGGTGCTCGAAATGACTGCGGATGGCGCCGCCACAGGTAGACAAATAGGAAGGTGTCACCAGCACTCCAAGCGCTGATAACGGCAATCAAGTGCTCATTTATTGACAGGTGCTTTCGGGGCCACACAGGGTCCCCTTAATCTCTGAGCCTGATGAAGGGGACCCTGTGTGGCCCCGAAAGCGCTTGCTAACGAGAGACCGCATTTGTCAATAATTGAGCACTTAGTTGCGGTTATCATCGTTTGGTGTGCTGGTGACATCTTCCTATTGGTCACATGTCTAGAAATCCAGGAAGTAAAAGTAGAGCTAGTAATCTGCCCTTAGTAGACATGGCCACTGCCATAAGACTGGGGAAGAAAAGAGAAATAAGGTATGCAAATAATACGAAGCCTGCAATTATCTAGAAGTATGTGTTTGTAGGTTGTTTGGGGTATAGCTCAAATGGGGATCACCTTCCCTGGGAAAAAAAGGTAGTCCCAGGCAGCAAAAGCTCTTTTTCAATCCGACTTGCCGTCGGGGTTTTTATTAAAAGGTTGCAATAAAACCGAAAATAAATCCTTGCCATCCAGGCTCTGACTAAACAGGCAGGTTCCTCTCTACCAAGTGGTGAGCTTATCTCAGCCACCTTACAAAACATAAAGTACTTTTAGCAACCTTTTTCTCACCCACATCCAACTTATAGCTCTCTCAGAAGTCAGAGTCCCAAGCCAGAGCAACATCCTGTTTCAGCCTTCCTCCTTTTATCTCACCTGGATAGGCAATCGTTAAGCAATTAGTAATCCAGGTGAGAGACGCAAAACCCGAGCTGGATTACTCAAACCCAAAGTCAGCCCGAAAACCCGGTCTGGGTTCCGCTAGTCCTGTACATAGGACAGAAAGCGAGGGGAAATATATTGCCCCTCGATGACTTTCCCTTTCCTTATGTCACAGTTGTCATTACTAAACATTTCTAAAGGTGTGTTTGTTGTTATTTTAAAGATAATTTAATGCAATCTTGTGATTTTTTTTTTTTTTTTCTTTTACTGGAAATTGTTTATGAACATTGACTCCTGAACCAGTGTGAGTTTGTGTTATACTGTACAACTTTTTCATATATGTTCAACATAAGGAACTAAGCGCGGTTATAACAAGACCGTTATTCCTCATTTTTAAGGACTCTCTAATGACTGGTAGAGTTCCAAGTGACTGGCGGAGGGCTACGGTAATTCCAATTTTCAAAAAGGGGGCAAAATGCCAACCTGGGAATTATAGGCCAGTTGGTCTTACATCGGTAGTGTGCAAACTGCTAGAGGGAATGATTAAGGACTATTTTTAGTAGAAATTGTTCAGGCTAATGGTATAGTTAGTGATAATCAGCATGGGTTTAGGAAAGAACGTTCCTGTCAGACTAACCTACTGACTTTTTACGAGGGGATAAGTAAAGATCTGGATGGAGGGAGGTCTGTGGATGTGGTATATCTGGATTTCGCTAAGGCTTTTGATACGGTACCTCATAAACGCTTACTATACAAGCTAAGAGCTATGGGCATAGATGGAAGGGTGTGTACATGGATAGAGAACTGGCTAAAGGAACGGGTACAGAGAGTATCAATAAATGGCGC